CGCCTTAAAGACGTGGCACTACCATCAAATAATGCCCTATCTCTTAATCGAGACCATAAAGTTTGTATCGTAACTTGTTCTTCTGAAACCATGTGTAATATGACATTATAATTTAGTTAACAAATTAATGCAAATTTCTGATAAGTTATTATAATAAGATCTTACTTTTGTGATACATATTATAGATCACTTCTCGAATGGCACTTGTATCCAATGTCGCTGTGTTGGTTACACGTTTAATATAACTCCGCTTTTTCTTGGGCGATTCTAAATTTGCATCACTTTTCACACCCTCGGAAATACGACTAACTGTCCTTAAACTAATTTTTAAAGCAGCAGCAACACGCTACAAAAAATGAAATAAAATTTCACTATTATTAATATACATTACATATAATTATTAGTAACCTACCTCTTGAACAGCATTTAAAGGCAACAAAGGCCCGTTGTTGTCCCTTTCTTGCTCAAAGTAGTGCATTAACGAGGCCACGAGTTCCTTACACCGACTATTTAACTGTTTGGGCATCTTTATATACCAAAATTGCCTTTATCTACTCGTAAAATGAATAATTTTGTTTTGAAACAAACAGTTGTTGATTTACAGTATGCGGGGCCAAAGGATTTATAAAGATTTGAAATGCCACAAATTGATTCAGTGTCAAAATTAATACAAATGTCAGTTCCCAGTTTAAATAAGTTTCAAGGTGACAATGTGTCAACGCTGCGAAATCGGTTTAGTGCGTTTACATGTCGATAAGTGATTGGAGCGTTTGCAAAACATTTTATTTCGCATAATGCGTCTAAATTTATCAGAAAGCAACTTATGTGATATTTTAATAACAATGTTTATATGACTATTAACCATAATAAGAGAGTAATCACCATTTTACAATTTATATATCACATTAATATGAAACTGCAATAGAGCAATTGTTTGTGATAGAAACCTAGGCATTAGGTCGGGAAATTTTTATCGTGATGACGTGCACGCCACTTTGTTTGGCGTTGACTATACCTGCCTTGCTTAGGTATGTAGAACTAAATCTAGAGACTCAGCGGCCATGTCGGATAACTGAATGTTTGAAGAAAAGCAAAATATTTAAACCAAAACGTATGTAAAAATTCCAATACAAACTCATGGAAAAACTAATTAAGGACAAGAATGGACCATCACCTTTAAATTAAAAATCTAGTCATAAATTGGACAAATGTGTGGTGTCTATTTGCAATTTATTATTTTTTGTCTGTCATAGTAAGTATTCCTAATGTCAAAAACGCATAACGCCATTTCCAAATTCCTCTGAATACAACAACAATTTAAGTAGCGTCGCCTAACTCTCTAACTATTTCTGGGATCCGTATTGCATTCTTAAATATGTGAATTGAGTCAATTCCTACCTCGTTTTCAATATTGTCTTATAATAAAAACTAGCTCGTTAGGTGAAGCTTTTAAAGCGCGCAAGATAAACATTCTCAATTATTCATGATAGATGCTTTATTCGACAAAGTGCTAGAATATTATCTATAAATGAAGTGTGTGCATTTCGTCGATAAACTGAACGTGTGCCGTGTGTCAAGAATGAAGCAGAATGAACAAATATCTGTCATCCAGCTTGAACAACGTTGTGTCTTTTGACGTTGATACTGCTTGGGCAGCCAGAAGCTATTTGCAGGAGGCCTACTTGTGGAAAAAAGACAGGGTAAAGTGTTTATAACAACCAATAATGCAACATAATATGCTAGCAGACTTTCTTCTTACAATATACTGTCTCGGATGTTTCCTATTTTTCATAAACAATGCGAAAATCTCGGTTTAAAATAACATACTACCGACGTCGAGCTATCTAGCTTTTATTTTTTTATGTGTACTCTTTTGACTGGTAAACCCTGTTTTGTCGTTTAGAGAGAATTGTGTTGAAACAAAAAAAAACTGGATGTTCATTTTTTCTGGAAAATATGTTCCCTGGTTTTACCGATGTTTACCAATTATAAAGTTATTAGATTCAGTCGACTGATTTTTTTCAGAAAACATTAAAATGCTACGAGATTTAATTGATATGCAAGTAGTTCAGTAGATCTTACCATTTTTTTCAAGATTGATCTCAAGCCTTGTCCACACAAATACCATATGAGTTCCATACATGGTGAATGAAATAACTGTGGTAATATCTCTGAAATAGCAAACACGTCGGTAAGACAGGTGTAATTTTGTTGTAATGAGATTTTAGGACTTTCTCCATAAAAGTGATGAGACAAAAAATTTTCTCGAGATACAGCTTACGAAAAATAAATATAAAAATGTAATATACGTGCTGCGAAAAGATATGATGGTATCTCTTCTGGGAGTCAACCCTGCTTTTACTCACTGGTTTATTTGGAGCCAAGATTATGTTTGCGTAAATTTGTTATGCTGTTTGTACCTTTGGTTTATCGTGAAACATTTTGCGTCAATCTAATTCAATGTTTATGCGCTTTAAAAAGTTAAAGACTCTCACTTCGTATATAGGGTGACTCACAAGTCGTGACCAAAAATGGAACATCATACACAGAATCTCATTTTAAGGGGGGTTCTATGAAATATTTTTCCTCGAGGGCTTCATTGAAAAGATACGGGGTGTTGAAGTTTAAAAATAAAAAACAATTTTTCTTAATAAGTTCAAAACCGTCAACTGAAATTGACTAAAATTTGGTATGTGGATTAAACTAGGTATTGTCCACATTCAAAAGTCTTTACTTAAAATTAACGTGCACCAGTGGCGGAGATACAGGGAATTAGTGGCATTATTTTTTTTTATTGTTCTCGTAAAATAAAAAAAACGAATTAGATAATCAAAGCTTTATTTCAATAGAAGTTCAAAAAGACCACCATTCTGACGGATACCAGTGCGGCATATTTTTAATAAAGAAAAACGTATTTCCGCAAAATTTGATGAAACGCATGATACTTGTATATTCTTTCTTGTAACCGATCAACGGTATTAATTTGTTCAGCATACACTAGTTGTTTAAAAACGCCCCACAAAAAGAAATCCGGGGACTTCAAATCAGGAGACCTCGCAAGCCAAGGTACGGGTCCGTTTCTACCAATCCATCGTTTTCTAAAATGATGAACCATGCCGTTATGTCACGACGAACATGCGGTCGGTCACCGTCGTGCTGATACCACATTCGTACTCTCGTTGCTAACGGAACATCATCTAACACATTTTCTATGTAATTCTCTAGAAAAGCTAAGTATGAGTTTGCATTTAAACGTTGTGGCAATACGTGCATAAACAGTTGGCCATTGAAAATGCCGCAGCAATTAAAGGTTCCACTCCTCGTAAAAAGCGACTCATCTGACCACAAAACCAAATCAACAAAATCTGAATTTTGATTATGCATTTGCAGTAACCACTCATAAACATTTTTCCGCAGCACTTCGTCGCCGGGTTGCAGACATTGTACATTTTGCCGACGGTAAGGATGTAAAACTTACCGATTTGAAATTTTCCACGGACTTTGAGAACATGGTAACTGGGCTGCAAGCTGCCTAGTACTTGTACCAGGATCATTCAACGCCAAATTAATCACTTCCAGTTCCTCTTGAACAGTATGCCGGACACCAAGGCCTCTAACTCCGGGAAGTTAGGCAATTCCATATTGCCGAAGTCTTAGAAATGAACGAGTAAAAACCCTTGGGGTAGGTGGGCGTCTGTTAAGAAATATAGGTTGATACTCCCGAGAAGCCGCTAAAGCATTTCCATTACAGAACCCGTACACAAAAATAATATCGACGTACATCATTTCTAAATTCCATTTCACAACACTCAAAAATGGGAAAAAACTTATGACTGGACTTTTGTAAAAAAATGGTAGTAGTAACGATATCAACCGTATAACACAAACTATCTTAAAAGAAACGTCAAGTTGGTATCAAGGGCTCCTATTTTATTTTGAAACTAATTGTATTTATACGAAAACAGTGCACTCTAGGAAGAAAACAAGAGTATTTGTAGCAAATTGAAGGTAAAATTAGAAAAATTGCTCCTTTAAAAAACGGTGGCGTACTATTTTCATTTGAAAAAATAATGCCACTAATCCCCTGTATCGCCGCCACTGGTGCACGTTAATTTTAAGTAAAAACTTTTAAACGTGGACAACCCTTAGGTAAATCCACATACCAAATTTTAGATCATTCCAGTTGACAGTTTTGAAGATATTAAAAAAAAAATGTTTTATTTTTAAGCTTCAACACCCCGTATCTTTTAGATGAAGTTATCGAGGAAAAAATGTTACATAGAAGACCCCTATTAAAATAGGGTCCTGTGTATGATGTTTCATTTTTGGTCACGACTTGTGAATCACACTGTATACTTATATTGGTGCGTAATAGTGCTTTGTACCTTAGTGGCTGCTTCTAGACTTATAAGAGTTTTTCGCATTACTTTTCTAGACGTACTTTCAGTCTTAAAAGTATTATCACCGGTTTCACAATTAGTCTTACTCATCATTAGATTAATACATTCCCATCAATTCGATTCAAGGGGTGTCGCTGTAAGACTACTAATCAGTCGCCGTGAGCTGGGCGAGTTCGAATCCCCTTAGCTATGGGTGGTGTGATTATCTGAAGATGGTAGACGATGCACCCAAATAAGTGCGGAGGTACCACCACGCGGATCTCTAAGGGGGTCCATAACGTGTGCATACCGCATTCACACGTGCTTCCCTGCATGAGTCCGTGTAACATCCCCCCATTCTCCTGTATCCCCATATAACCCGACGGTATCAGGTTTTAGGCCTACGGAGAGAGTGTTACAGCTAACATCAAATCACACATCATTCGGCGAGGTAAACCTTGCCAGTGGTGATATTCGGACTATTTATCCAGAAGGTCTAGGATACTGATGCAACTACTGATAGCATACTGTATAAATCACCTCAACAACAGAGAATCTCCCTACCATTCGCCGGAATCTTGTACCCGTAGCACATCTTTGAATTAGCTTCTTCCTTTCCAGGCTCGCTTCCAACAGAAACAGATGCAGGAGAGGGAAGAAAAGCTGTTGAAGTTGTATGAAAACCAGCAGCAGCGAGCATTTGAGAAAGTTGGGAGGAATAGCGCTGGAAGCACTGGAAACCTCAGCTCTGGACCTGGGAAGGTAAACATATTAGACAGATTTCTGTAATTATTCTACTTTCTACTGTTGACTAAATGAGTGTAACTTGTTGTGAAAATAGAGTATAAAAAATCGGATTGTTTTGCTTAGTATCTTTGAGGACTCATTTATCGGTTACAAAACCATCACACAGCTTATATATGTTCCTTCGTTCAAACTTAAAGTTACTACTTAGTACTTTATCGTAAGTCTTACTCTGAAAACCAAATACCGCTGATGTGGTGTACGAGAGAGAAGCGCGAGAAGCGTGCAATACGTCTGTTAGAAAGAGATAGAAGCACCTCGTTGCCTAGCAACCCGATTACGAATTCACTGATGCTATCGGCACACCCTTTCTAACATACATATTGAACGCTTCTCGCGCTTCTCTCGCGCACACATTACGATATCTGCCAAATTTGAACCTCACCGTATACTGCATGTCTTAAAAGTTCCAAAACACGGTATGAAAAAACTAAGCCTCGCGATTGATTAGACTTTTCCCCAGTTATCCAATGGTGACCTTGGATTTAGCCACGTCTATGACCTTCAAAGTCATTTGAAGGTCAAAACAAGTTTTCTAAGTAGAACCTCTCTTCGTTGACCTTGTAAATGAAGAAGGCGGAAAATGTTACGTTCAGATATGGTCTTGGCCATTCTATTGGACCGTAGCAGGTCATGTTCAAGGTCAAATCCAGGTACGGTGATATAACTTTAAAACCGTTAGTCGTATAGGGAAACTACACAGACATGATTTTCATAATTTTCCCAGGATATAGAATGGTGAGCTGGGAACTGACCTTAACCCTTAACTACCATGGTCAAAAACAGTAACATTTATATCATGGCAGAGTCAAATTTGACCCCATTGTTTTTTTTTCACATAAAAAATCTAATTTTGTACCTTGTTTTTATGTTAAGTTATTTTGTTTTCAACTAGTTTTACAATTTTATAAAATAAAACAAATATGGTTAGTTATAACTTGATTAAAAAAAAATTCGATTTCTAGTGAAATTAACAAAGATGTGCACTTTCGAAAATTATAAGAAAAGTTGTATAAAAATTTTCAGTTTTCTTGTATTCAGTGGTGAATTTTAGGTATCATAGCTGCTACCTAAAATAAAAAAAATTGATTTAGATTTCGTATCTAAAAAATGACAAGCATGTTTTTGACCTTGCTTTTCAACACAACCTATGCATAACGTCTTCATGCGGGCATGATTTTTGCAAATAAATTCTCGACATTTATCCCACGATGAGCTTCCTTTCGTTTGATTATTAGAATATGGCCATATTTTACACCTTCCCCTCCACTGGTTCCTGAAGTCCGGAAACTTTAAAAATGGCACTACGAAGTCTCTCGGTAAACATGCTGAGCTCTACGAGTCAAATGGTCCTTAATAAGTTCTTGACCTAAAGTGGTTAGAAATAATTTTTTGCGCCTCCGCTCCAAGTCCTTTCTGAGTCAGAGCGCGTGTATTGCCACTATAAGCCGCCATTCCAAATTACTCGTTACTCGCACTAGAAACACTTATACCATAAACGGGTCAAATTTAACCCTACATGTGCCTAACTGTTCAGTGGTAACAGATAGATTAATGGAATTTTTGTGGATCGATAAATCACCTACCGGTCGAAGATTAGCAGAACGCGCGCAGCGCGCCATATATATTTTGATAGCGAAACTTGGCATAGAAAACGTCAAGGGTCTAATTTGACCCCGCCATGGTACCTAAGGGTTAACTATTATGACCTTCAAGTCCATGTGGAGGTCAAGTAGTTTTTTGTAGCAAGGAACAATCCTGAAATAACAGTGAAGTCAGTTTATCCTGGGATTACATAGTTTTCCGAATTATCAAAAAACTAAGGTAAACTTGTGTTGGACCTTGAGTGTCAAGTTCAAGGTCAAGTTCCAGAAATGGTCAAGGATATAATTATTCGAATAAAAAAATTTCTCCATTTCCGCGGTTAAAAGTATGAGGTCCAATAAACAAAGATTTGACCTTCAAATGAAGGTCGTGACCAAGGTCATATTCAAGGCCACCTTTAGATATCCGGTGAAAATCATAAAAATAATGTCTCAGTAGTGTCCCTATGCGACTACTGGCTTTCAAATTATGTTACCGGACCTGGATGGACCTTGACCATGGCTTCCTAAGGTCAACATTCCAGAATGATCTTGACCATATTTAAACGTAATTTTTTTTCATTTGCAGCATCAAAATGGTGAGTTTCATTAAAAAAATCTACTTGACCTTGAAATGACCTTGTGTGTCATGGTCGAGGTCAAATCCAAGGTCATCATTAGATAGCTGGGGGAAACTCATATCACTCGCGAGGTTCAGTTTTTTTCTACAATTATTAGTTCACAAATTATCGTGGGGTTCCGGAACCTTTCAGACACCCTGTATAAGCCTAGCGTTCTGTTTCCCAGACACATTACGTTAAAATCCATTTTTAAGCTTTTATTCAAAAAAAATTTAAAAATTACTCTGACAATTTTTGCCACTATTGCCAACGGATATAAACCATTGGTATCAAAGAAAAAAAAGTAGGGCTATATTTGATTTTCTAGTTATTTTTCATCTTTTTATCTGAGTTCTTTCTACAATTCAGTTGAACCTTGGATATAAAGGATTTTGAATTTGTCCAGGTACGGCAAATGTTCGACGAAAGAAGGAAAGCCGGTATCGATCGCAGCTATCCTTTGGAGCCGTTAAAGGCAAAATCGAACACAAGGGGCCCCAGTCAAGAGCGTAAGCCTGCCAATATGAAAACCACTTCAGTCAAGTCAACCAGCCATTCCAGCGTTTCGATGACCAAAAATGTAAAATCGACTGCGAGAATAGAGGCAGTTCATACTGTTTACAACAACAATAATGGTATAGAGTCCTTCGAAGAACACAGATACGAGGAGAAGAAGCCATATATACTCAATGGGAATCATGAGGATTACATGTTAGTACACTCTTTAGTCTCACACTGTTTGTCAAGGTGAACATTGTTCTGTTTAAGGTTTACAGCGTTTACAACTGTGTGTTCCATATCTCAATACGCGCTCCTTGAGTTTAGTTTTCAGATGCAAAACTGCGACTAGGGCATGAAGCAGTTCGTTCATAATTATGTAAACCATTTTTTGATATTATGCAATATTCACTTCCCCATTTTGTGGATTCGTTTGTCTGCTGGTGTTTTTCACCACAGTGGCAGCCCTGTTTTTGATGGGAAGCAATATGAGTGGAATCATAAAAGATAATGCTTGACATTCTTTAAAAAACAGTTAAACATTTACTAAAAATTGAGGGTTTTAAGGAAAATCTCAAACTTACCTTATACATGTTTCTTACCAGTTCAACGCCAAAAAGAATTACAAGTTTTGGAATGCGACTAACCCTTTAAGCAGTTGCAGACCTCTTTAATCATACCCTTTCAAGGTGCCCAGAACTTTTACCTGCAATCCGTAATTGGAAATATTGCTCCAACTAATTTTTTGAGTCCATGTTATATACCAAATAGTTAATTTTCACTCATTTTTAGTGGTAGTCTACTAAATGCTTCAAACAGGTCAGTACCTAGATGGGTATCACATGATAAGGGCAACCAAAAATTATCTTTCTCTACTACCGGCCGGAAAAGTGCATTTTATGAAGAAGCTTTTTGGGCGTTAAGTCCCACTTTTTAATCTTTCCAATCCATCCTTCCACCCATCCTGTATGCCGTAGGGTGATAAAGTTGCTTTAATGGCTGCTATGTATAAATTAACCTTTGTTGAACATCATATATGGTATCCACGGAAATTGCCCTTATTTATTATTGGCTACTAGGAAACGCAGCGTCTACTGGTAGGACAAGTACCGCCTATTGTTTATGTTTATTTTTAAATCTCTTGAAAGCTAGCTTAAATGTTTGATTTTAGCACATTACATTTTGTACGTTTCTTGGTAGTTGTAAGCGTTTCTGACCCTTGGTGAGTTAGATTCTCCGGCGCTTTGCGCTTTGGGCTGTAATTTCACGCCGCAGGTCACAAGCGCCTGCTTAATGCTAGACTAGATATGCATCACTTACTAATATCGTTTTTCTGTATATGTGTATCAGTCTTCAATCGTTTTATACTTTTAAGTATTAGAATGACTTAATGTGAACTTTGCGTCATTCCGTTATTGATTCTATAAATGTAAGTTTACGTTTACCGTGGAAAAACGCAAGTGTGAGCAATACAAAGCATTCATATTTCAGACGATACCATCCACGTATGTCAAATGTATAGCTATTAATCGTCTATCTAGTATAGTCGATTCCATCAAAATGGTTCTTACTAGCAAGTGTTGCTTTCTTAACCCTTTACTGCATGAATTTTTTGTTTTCATCGAAAAAAATCCCAGGAATGGAGAAATATACTTTATGTAAAAAGTACCAAAAAAAATTATGTATAATACATACTTTATTTATTTTGAAAAAAATGGAAAGTGACATATATGGAACATTATGCAACAACATCTTTATTCAGTGTGGAACCTCAAAAACAATTTCGCTCTTTATTAAAACACAAGGAAACTTTGCAGTTCGTACAAGACACAAAGGATTTAGATTGACACAATGGAAACTTGCATCTTGATCTTTGTTGTTCACTCCATTCTGGTAAATGGTCCATACCATCAAGACGTACCTCTTGTTGAGGAATTTCTTTGGTAGGTCCACGTTTCTTTTTCATGGCATATAATGTCTGAACCTCTGCTGAAGGTCTTCCTACTCTTCTTTTATGTTCTCTATTAAGATTGCATAAAGAATCAGCGATGGCCAGCTTGAAGTCTTTAAGGGGTAGATCAAATTCTTTATTGCTGCGTCTCCACAACAACCAAGCATTTACGCAACACATATCCAACATGTGAAAAAATATGCGTAAATACCATTTCTTTGATCGAATTCTAATCCTATACAATCCCAACATGGCATCCAGAAGATCGACACCTCCCATGTAATTATTGTAAACAAAAACACTTCCAGGGCATTCCATACCATAAAATTTCTTTGGGTCCATAACTGGAAATAAAAGCAACCAATGTAAATATAATTGCATATTGCTCCATATATGGCAGAAGCACAAAATCGTACACGTAACTTCCTAAATTAACATCAAATGAAAAACAACTTACCTTATAACATAGTTTACACTTCACCCGTAATGTCAATAATTTTATTTTGGGGATTCTCTAATTTTAGAAGACAAAAACCTTGCAAACAAAACGGATCCATCAGCTGCTAGCAAGAAATGGCGCGCGGCAGGCTCTGACACGAAATAACTCGTAATTGAGCACTACTATCGATGTGTGCGTTTTGCTCTGTGTAAGCGGGTGCGTTCCAAATATGGCATAGTATGCAGTAAAGGAATACAACTTAATTTGAGACAATATTTTTTTATTTTTGTAGTTTGGGTCATATATGGCACATGATGCGGTAAAGGGTTAACATATATCACGCTGTTTTAGGCTCACCTACCGAATCGACATGTTGTTCAAGATTTCAATTTCAGAAAAAACGCAATTTCGAAACCATACAAACACGTTTTAGAAATAGGGATGCGTGGATGTGTTTTCGTCTATCCTAAAAGTCAATTTCACACTATAGTATTAGCAAAAGCCTTAATATTTCCTGAAATCTCAAAAAATTATCAACATTCTTGTTAACTATCCCTCTTCTTAAATTACCTTAGCCTAAGAGATAGGCACCCGTGAGAAAGTTTGTTACCCCGCGGTGGTGCAGGTACATTTTCACAAAAAGTTATCTCTCGCCAATGATCGACGCCCATGTTGAGACTTCACCCTGACTGAAATACTACGGATTTCTGTAAAGAGCCTTCGAACAAGAATATTTCTCAAATATATAGTAAGCAATGTTGCTAAAGCACAGTCTTCATCTTAACAGTTTGGACAACGAGGAGATGCCAAAGCTTGGATTTGACGAGACTGACAGAGCAGTAGAAAACAGAAATAGTGTTAGCAAGAATCAAAGCCCGGTTGTGAAGAAAGACTCAAGAAGTTCTGTGAAAATGAATGGTACTACTCCTACCCGAAGTGATAATGTAAACGTAAGTACGCTCTCCATACTTTGAATGACTATAATATGATACAGAGTATCTAACAGATACTTCAGACAAAACGTCAATTTTCATTCTACACAGAAAGGACCAGGATGGTTGGATTCTGATTACATTCTTGTTGGAATCGCATGATTATCTAATTGAAAAAATAAACAGTATTTTTATGTTTTTGGGATGGTGATGAATCAATTCCAAGTTATAGGCTACCACATTTTTTGTTGCATGTTGAAATAAGCCAATGAAATTCGATAATGGATTTTACCAATTGGAATTCATCTGTTTTTGATGTATTTTTTTCATACATATCAAACAGATATAACAGATAATAATTTTCAGTTGTCACATTTTGGGCTTAATCCTCAGTGGGATGTTATTCAATTTTATTAAAATACATTTCAAGTTGCAACTCAGGAATACTAAAAATCGTGAAACAATAGCCCAAATCTGTAAACTTCATTTATTGTTTTCTTGTTATATTCGAGCATACCAATATTGCAAGTCATGCATTTGAGTGTAAGAGGAGCGAGAAGAAGATTAGCAGAAGTATTTTAACTTGCCTCATTTTGCCAATATTATATCTCGTGCAACTAAGGGGAAGGGAAACCAAGGGAATCGACGGGAAACTCATGCACCGAGTTTCCTCTCACATAATCTCACTTTCCCTCTAACCGCAAGATATCTGTCGTTTGACGGGTTCTCCTCTTCATCCCACAACGTCAACGCAGGTGTTCCCCAGGGATCAGTCTTGATTTCATATACTGCTCCTCTTACATATCAACGACCTCCTATCCCTTTTCCTACATGCAGGAATTCAGCGCGACAAGCCGATCTTTGCCGCTAGACTGAAAAAAAAGAAGGCTACCGACGAGTTCCTCTCGGACGAGTTACCTGGAGATTATCACTGCTTGGGGACGCAACAATCTTGTACAATTTTATGCTTATAAAATACAGTGCTGTACCTTCACGAGCAAAAAGCGTTCTAGCGCTTATCCGGTTTCGATGGATGGCCGAGTTCTGTCAAAGTGCCGTTCATTTCGGATGGTCGGAGTCCAGATCAGCAAGGACTCAATCTGGCACGACCACACTCTATATAAGGCCTGCCTCGAGTATTGCTCAGACGTTTGGGGTGCTACCGCCCCAACTACATTATTTATGATCGATGTTGTTCCGAGGAAGGCTGTCTGACTGATGGATGACTCTTCTCTAATAGACAGTCTCGGGACCCTTTTGCACCGCCGGGTAGTAGGCGATCTAGCTCTCTTCTACCCCTACACCAACAAGCTTTGCTTCTCAGAGCTCTCGTCTATGATATTGCCGGGCGATGTGCCAGCCAAGCAGACCCGCCTTACTTCGGCCTCCTATCCTAACCGTGCCGAACTTCGTACATCCAGAACTGGCCGATGCGACCGCTCCTTTGTCCCGATAGTGTCAAGATTGTGGAACAATCTACAAGAGGAAGCTTTTCCCTGTTCTACTAACCTCACGCAGTTCAAAAATCGGATTAACAAAATTTCTTTGGAATCCTCATAGCAGCCACGGTGTCCTGGCCTTTAGGCTTCTGCCTGCGCGACTGCTTCGGTATAGAAAAAAATTAGCTCTGGAGAGATACGAAGCAGCGAATCTTATTTAACGTGTGCAGATTCGCATTTCTCTTTTCGTCGCTTCGCCTCAGTGGGGATGCAACTTAACTGTTAGAGAGGTAGAAGTGGAATATCATCCTTATCTAAATCTTCGTTGATAATAACTAATTCTTTCACCTAAGAGGATTTTTATTGTCAGACACCAAAAAAGTGAAAGCTGTAAATAAGCTTACATTTTTCATGTTAAAAAGTTAAAATCGTAATAATATGTTACAGCAGTTGGAGCCACTGCATTTTTAATCCCAATTTTATTCGTTTCATTTGCTGACTTTCTCCATAAAAAGATAAGATCATTACTGTTGTTCTCTGGTCAAGGTCCCCGTGAATGTTAGGGAAACCTTTTTTGTCCGCTGTAAACTAATCGATATTGTAATCAGTTTTCCCTAGAATTAATCACCTGGCAAGGTTCACAATATTACCGAATTTCCAGGTAATCGACCGACATATCAGAATAATTAGATTAGTTTTTTACATTTAATTTACATCACACACGCATCATGTTTCTATAGAAAGTAGAGAGGGGCGTTTACCTTATGATTTCAGATTCATTTTGTGTAGGTAGTAGTGGAACCCGGTGTAATGATTGTGTTGCTTATCGGTTTATTAATCTTAATCCTAGTGTCGCACATCCATAACTGGTCGATGAGACCGCTCCTTTGTTTCTGGGGATTACCTACATGAGGAGGCTTTTCCCAGTTCTACTAACCTTAGATAGTTCAAAAATCATATTAACAAACTTTCTTTAAGCTCTTGATAGCAGCCGCGGTGAAAATTTGACCTCTGGGAGTTGAGGTTCCTAATTATTTTATATATCCAGAATAGTCAGGTTTTTGAAGTCTGGTGTGATAGTCTTCAATTACTGGGACAATTATTGTCTAAATTATCTGGGTAACCAGGAAACCCAGGACATGTCATTGAAGTAGTCACGTATCGGCTTACTTCATTTACGTCAAATGCGGCCTTTAGATAATGATGTTCAAGGGTAACGTTAATCGAAATCGGAAAATATTGATTGTGATAGCGAGTTTATCATTTTTTTTTATTTATGCATACTAAGGGAACATTTTCCATCATTGAGGATGACGCAAAAAAATGTAGATCTAGTAAATTACTTTATGATTCGGATTGCCAAATAAGGTAAAGATAGAATGGAATGATCAAACTGAACGTATCGCGATTTTTAACAAAAAACTACTAGTAAAAATTAACTAAACGACACTTGATCCCATGTGATCGGAGATGTGAATAAAAACTCCGAGTGTGGCTGTCAGTGGGGAGAATAAGGATACCAATGTCGGACAGGCATATCCTGTTACAAAGTTCAATAATAAGGAATTTGAAAATTGTAAAACTGACGTAACTATGATATACTTTTGACCGACATTTTAACCGAAAGGCGTCTGGAGATAATGATAATGTGCATTGTTGCCGCAGAGTTACCATGGGGACATGCTTTCTGTCTGTTGTGCAGGAAGCATATACATGGTGCTTATTAATCATCTGAAAACAACGTTTTCAATACTGTTGGAAAAAAGCTTCCTAATGAAGTAATTGTTTCACAACATTAGTGCTGCGTCCTCTAAAAAAACGACTAGTAAATATTGACGGACATAAGCTTGGAATGGTTTTATTGCAAAATTGAACATCAACTTAATGTAGCTCATATTTTCAAAAACAATAATAAATATGTTAAACGGCGAAAATCCAAGTATCATGTCGGACAGTTTGTATTAGATATTTATTAGTTTATTGGACTTATTGATCATAAACGTACTAAGCGAACCAGAAGCTAAATCCAGCTATCATTCCCAACGAAGAGTAAATTAGTACGTCCGTTTGCAATAGTTATTCAAATGATCATTTGTCATCATTATTTGACCTGCATTGGCCTAGATGGCTGCTTTTATAAAATTCAAAGCTCTCATACCGATATTAAATACCATTCCGGGAAGCTGACAGTACGGCAAGTAATTTGCACAGGCAATGTACTAGCAATTTTTAATCCTAGACACTAAGAGAAACTGGTATCGAATGTTCGTTATTTCATGTTACATTGTACTTTCGCACATTCAGTGATTACATTCACTCTAGTTGAGTACAATCTACAAAAATCAATCATACTCTCACCAATTTCTCTCAGTCTATTATTTAGATCGAAATCTTGAATTTCAGGTTATTGTTAAAAAATTACAGACATTGAAACATTTATAAAACCATCGATTTTTGAATAAAAAAAATAAAGGATGTTGAATTTTGGGCTTCCGTTCATGTCCTGGAAAAAATACGGCTATTTCATTTGTTGTGGTGACAACCGTTTGCATTTGATGGCAAAATAGTTTTCCTCTTGAGGCAAAATCAACGCTCGAAAGTCGATTAATATGAGTAAAACCGTCCGACATCGCATTTGGGACATACATTTCCCCGTCTGACATATTTATTTTTGCGAGTCTGATCTTCTTTTTAAAACACATTTTTCCTGACCTATGCGTAGTTGTTATAAACAGCCCCTTTGCGCCTGTCCAACAAGGGTTTGATCACCGTAAGCTACAATCGCAGGAAATTTTTGTTAACGTTTCCCATGAAGTAGTTTCAATAAATTATACAGCTCTTCAATAATTAATTGAGGAACTTTGCAACAGGATATGCCCGTTCGGCATGTCTGTCCTGTATTACTCCAATTACCAGCTAAATAACAATACCATTTTTATCAACATTCCCGACCACGTACAATCTGACTTTTAGATAATGCAGCAGTAGGGTTGCGAAACATACACCTCATTTTTTTTAAACAATAAAAAACGTTCTTTTCCGATGCAAGGATAACACCCTATATATGATTTTCCCACAACTGACAAAAATTATGTATGTGGAAACAATGCTCATTACCATTGTTACTAGACGCTTTTTGGTTGGAATGTCACAATTTCGTCAATTTTACAATTTTTTAATAATCAATGATAACTTTGTTACAGGATATTCCACCCATTACCAACTGCACTCCTATATGATCTTTATCCAGATCTATCATGTAGATTCGGGTGTCTTTGGAGCTTAAACTATACGTGGACTATACATACTCGAGATTTTGCCTTCACTAATCAACTACATCCCTAACTGCTAGGTCTCAGTGACATATACACAACTGTCAAAATTCTTTGTCCATCACAGCAAAACGTCAGCTTCCCTCACATTTCATCACATTTGAGCTACAAACTTAACAACAAATCTAATAGGGTTTTGGTCTTTCTCAGCACGGTGTTAAGAAGACTGCCAAACCGACCGCACCTGTGCTAAGATCAAGTCCACCACCTAAAACCACAACTCCTACGTCTCCTGCAAAGCAGTTAAACTCTAGTCCCAGCACAATGGCCAACAGGGTAAGTTTTAAAATTGTTTGTTTCATATCAGTGAACGTATTTCTCACTACACCGCACAAGATAGTAAAAAACCAAAAATGTCTAACTGGAATTAGTATTGTTTTTGAGGGTTATATGACATGTACATGTACCATGTCACTCATTTCCGTCGGTCTATCTGTCGGTTTGTCCGCTAATTTTAAAACCGCATATAACTTTAGAAGTACGGCTCGGATTTTGATGAGATTTCCACACGAGGTTACTACTATGCTGAAAATCGGTACAGTGGTGGCGGAGCAAGTGGAAAAACAGGAAAAATAATAAAAACCACTTAAACTTCTTTCTTTGACGTTTCAGTGGCTCCTGTTCATTTTAGGAAACATTTTTGTAGAGGTTGAAATTTGTACGCTGTGGGTTGTAGGAAGTAGGGGGCTGTAAATTTAACGTTTTTAGTATTAGCCACAGACGTTCTATCATTAAGAAGTTTCTGATCACGGTAACAAGGGGAAAATCTATCATATACATGATAAATTTATATAGTTTGATGTGCAGAGGTCGAAGGTTCATCGTGTACCTACTTAATCACGATTCTATATCGCCTTTTGAAACGATTAGAATCATCCCCTTTCTTTGAAACCTCCAGCGAAGACATAGGAATTATAGAGGCAATCTACTTGACGTCACTTTTTCATTTTATTTTCTTCATTCTTGCCGATTTCCGACTACAGCGTTAGTTTATTTTGTCTCTTTGGCCATTTTGTGCAACCTACTAAGCCGCAATTGGTCTTTCAGAGTCCCTCAGCAGCCCAATCCAGAGCCCCCTCCACAAACCGACCATCTGCCCGCCAAACCGCCAAAATAACTGCAGTGACTCGAGATGACCTCACAGAGTGTTCTTACTGCGGCAGGAGATTCGCAGCGGACAGGGTCCAAAAACACGAAGAGGTCTGCGCTAAGACTGGGAAGAAGAAACGGAAGGCGTACGATGCCACGAAGCACCGAGTGCAGGGCACTGAATTGGAGTCGTACGTGCTAAAAGGTGGAGGAAAGAAGTCGGCAGCTGGCGCTAAGGCAACACCAAAAGTGAGTTATGGAACGCTTGTATACTATAGTACGTCTTAAGGTAGAATCAGCCCCTTCCAACAGTCATATTAGGAAGGAGCCAGCCAAGGACTTGTTTGTCTCCTAATTCTCATAGTCTCTAGTGACGATCAAAGTGCATACTACAAGTTCACTTGGCACAAGTTCACTTTTTGACAGTTCTGTCATTAAATTCAGATGTTATAGTTATTTTTGGAAAGTGCGAGTGTTTGCAGATAATTGTGATATTAGGTAAATCTCCGGTCTCTAGTAATTATTATTATTGTGTTGATATAACCCTGTCACCTTGGTAGACGTTGGTAGTCCAACGAATCAGAAGTATGCACTAAGACTAAGGCCCGTATCGTCAGTCGTCCCTACAATTGTAGGGCGCCTTTATGGCCTCCTTGATTGTCATAGTTTTCTACTTCTCCGTGTCAGAACTCTATTTTGAGGTTATGTCACGAACATCTATTTGCATCAAATTGTGCTTGCTTTTGAGTTATATCATGTTTTATCAGCCTGAAATTTCCTACAATTTAAACAGAAAACATATCTTCACAATAGGAGAGCGCTGGCGCTGACACGGGACAAGTGTAATCTAGAAATTTTTGAAGGAGAGAAAGTATGACAATCAAGGAGGCCATAAACGCGCCATACAATTGTAGGGACGACTGACGATACGGACCTAAGTAATTTCCGTGACAGACAGTGCAATGCAAACATATATGCTAGGCTTCTTCTAATATATTCGAATTTGTTGATCCCTTCAGTGTCTTTTGTTCATCAAAATAAATCAAAAAACATGTGAAAGGTCCTATTGAAAAACCGGCGGCCGAGCAAATTGCCAATCACGTGAAACTTTTGAAAGTACTGCTGAGATGACCATGAAGCATAAAAACAGTTGTTGTTAATCCATTGTTTTTTCAAGATTCTCAATCAGTTTATTCCAACGAATTCAAACTAGGTATAAGGCGCAAGTTTAGTATTTGTCTACAAAATTTGATAGCCTGTAGTCAGGATGAGCTCATACTACAAGTCGATCAGGCTTAAGCCACCAGTTTGACAGTTGTTGACATCTCACATTTGTGTTTCACATGAAATTTATATTTTGCTGCGAAAACATGGAAGTTCGTGGGTTCCAAACAGTTCTAGAGTTTCAGACAATTGTTGAAAATGATGAAAGTTTCTGCAAAAAGCCTTTAAATCGATCGACAGGTGTTGATTTATTATAGTCATGGGCGTTGTGAAAGGGCATGCACGTTTTACCTGGATAGTAAGGTAATTTTGATTTATTTCGTTGCACTTCTTGTATCTCTGACCGCTGACTCCCAATCTTAGGTATACCGAACAACAACGTTTAAAAATGGAGACAAAGCAAATTTTCTTAGGGTTGTTTCTACAATTGAAAACGCAAGTGGATGAAGGTGTCATGTAACATTTTTCTTTAAATTGCTTTTTTGCATTAAACCAACCTTAAGGAGTGATTCTTTCATTCTGTGATCACTTTTTTGCAACAACACGATAATAACAAACTAATCAAACTAAGTATTTAACGATTTTGTTATATGACACCTTTTTCCACGTATATCTTCAATCGTAGGACGCCTTTAGGACCTCTTTGATTACCGTAGCTTTCTACTGTTCCGTGTCAGCAATCTATTTTTGAGCTTTGTTGCAAATATCAATTTGCATCACATTGTTCATGCTTTTGATGTACGTATATAACCTGTTATATGAGTCTGAAGTTTTCTACATTTCAAAAATAAATCATAGCCTCACAATATGATAGCGCTGACGCTGACACGGTACACTGGAAATCTAGGAAGGCCCAACCCATTCTGGCGAGAAAAGACTATGAGAATCAAGGAGGTCATAAACGCGTCCTACAATTTGTAGTGTAAAATCTTTTGCGTTCTCATTTTATTGCCACGAGATCTTAGTGAGAAGACTCGGTAGGCCCGAAATAAACTATGATTATCAACTTATATTACGTCCAAAGCTGTTTATTGGATAAATACAGGGTGTTTCACAACTTATCCGACAAATTTCAACCACATATGCACTGTTAGAAGTTGATTTCTCAAAAAAAAATGTAATTCCTACAGAAATGAAATCGAGATAATGAAATAATACAGTTTAACAGTTCACTTACTTATAAAAGCTGTTCAAAATTGTTTCCATTGACTGGAATGCAAGCTCGGGCGCATCTAATCCAATTTCGACACACTAATTCGGTCACGCAATTCTTCAATATTCTAAACTAGAGTACGGTATACCTCGTTTTTCAAGTATCCCCATAAAAAGAAGTCCAGAGGATTTAGATCGGGAGATCGTGGAGGCCATGCAATTGGTCCACCCCTTCCGATTCAGCGTATCTGGTATACCTGATTCAAAAAATCAAACTTCCAAACGAAAATGCGGAGGTGCCCCATCGTGCAGAAATCACATCCGTGCTTGGCCCGCCAATGGACATCTTCAAGAAGGACCGGCCGAAGAAATTCCATTACTGTTGACCATCCATCCGATCTGGCAATATGAACGGTCCAATTAGACGTTCGTCGACAATACCTGCCTACCCGTTTAAAGAATAATAATAATAATAATAATAATAATAATAATAATAATAATAATAATAATAATAAATGGGCTTTATTTCGTACCTAAGTAAAAGTACAAAAAAGGCGAAGTGTCGCTAAAATTAGCGTTTTTCAACTTAACCTTAAGCTTAACAAAAAAAAGTATATATATACATATATATATATATATATAATAAAACATTCTACCAACAAAAATGTATCCATAATTCTCAATAATTACTAAATAATTAACAACACAGAACAATTACAAGAATAGTCCATATTTCTAGCATTTTGTACTCATCATCAGACCTCGACTTGTAGTTTTAGTTTAAGCCTCTTTTTAAAATTAAATAACTTATAGTTTTGGAATGTAACAGGCAGATCATTGTATAATTTAATAGCATTGTAGCTGAATGATGTTTTGTAGACAGCCTTAGAATGTAAGGGTATCACTAACATATTCCTATTCCTTGTATTCAGTTGATTTATGTCACTACATCGTGTTAACTTATTATGCAAATATTGTGGTTGTTTGGTAGCTAAAACCTTATGTGTGAGTGTCAATAAGTGAAGCTTTTGCATGCCTTTAATTTGCAGAATACCAAGTTCCTTAAATTTATGAGAAATATGATCAAACTTTCGTATTCCGCAAAAACGATGTTGGCAGTGTGTCTGGACCTTTGCGTGAGGATTCTCAAATGACCAAACGTGTGTATTATAAAGATTGGTTATCCCGTTACTAGTAAAAATAGCCTCATCGGCGGCCAACATATCAGCTGCACTCACAAAATCTTACTCTTGGGGGTAGTATGTAGGTAGCAACGCCTGGACTCTCTGGACGTGATAAACGTACAGGTGGGCCTCATGTAATATGCGCCACGCTGTTGCATGTGACACTTCTAGAACCTGTTGGGCTAACTGCCTTGTGCTTATACCCGGATTTTTTTTTCAAAATATCAAAAATTTCGTCATCGGAATTTCAAACGCGTTGTGGGCGAACCCGACCTCCATCCACTCCACGTCTGGGGCGCAAATCTCCACTAGCGCGTGCACGCAAAACAATTGAACTAAATGTTTCGTGATGTGGTATGTGCCTATTCGGAAATCGGTGTGCGTACAAACGAGAAACCGCTCACGAATGCCCTGCTTCTCCATACGCTAAAACAATGTCCACTAACTCCTCATTAGTGTACACATGTGCCATTTTTATTAATAAATAACTAAAAACATAAACTCGCAAAATACTTTATTTACTTAACACAAATCGACCGTTCTCCATTCATATCATCCACGATACAGATTAAACCTTATTTACACGTTCTTATCAGTATGAAAAAACAGAAAAGTCCTGGTATTTTGTATTCATCAGTTGTTTGGTACACCATTTGCTACAATAAATTATTAATGCGTGTTCTAATATCACGACGATGAACGCAAAATACAGATATTTATTTTTCAATTTATTATTGAATCTCAGGCTCATAATTTAATTTCTGGAGGTCTTTTATTACATTTTCTTTTGTTTGAGAAATCTACTTTAGTAACAATGCATGTGGTTAAAATTTGTCCGATAAGTTGTGAAACACAATTTTAATAGCTGTAATTTTCATATTATGCTCAACTAGGTATATGCTTTTAGCCAAGAATCTGCTCGTATCACAACTACTTAGAATTCAGGATTCAAGCAAAGTGTCTCACTATTTCCATTGCTGTTATTTCATGATCATTTCTTGACTTGTGACGTTTGTAGGCAATGGTAGGCAAATGAGCCAAAAATAATCTCGCCAAAACTACATACTCTTGGCGACAAGCAATGCAATGTATACTCGTACATATAGCCTTCGCTCTTTCTGACTTGTGCAATTCGTTTGTTTATTCGGCACGTATGAGCGTTCAACATTCAAACATGTATTTTTTATTCGAAAGAGAACCATGTTGTTCAAATAATTAAAGAGGTTCAAGTATCGGTTTGGATTTCAGTGAAAACCATTATGTAAAACCGTAGCATAAAATGAACATTAATGCTCCAGTGTATATTAGTGCCCTGAAAGGCTTCATGTGCTTCGATGGTTGTCGATTTTGCCAGTTTTCAAATTTCCTTCACAAAATAAATTAATGTTGCTACTCCACGTTAACATGAAATATGTGACCAGCTGCACGAAGTTTACTCATGCCCCATTTTTTATTGAGAGTGTCTGAAAATAAGTGGCTCGTACCTCGGATTCATACAGAATTCTGTAGTTCTATGTAGATACATCCCTTTGAGTATGCCACTGGAGAGCACTTTTTCTTGAACAACCTCTAAAGTGACTCGACTTATGTTCATATCGTGGCTAGCTAAGCCGTACAAGACCAATATATTATGTTGTTTCTTGCGATTTGTACCACTCTGTGCCCGTTTACACCGTGTGCTATGCGATTTATAAGCATTTGTTTAGACACGGTGTAAGCATGGCCACTGAATGGATGCTTCAACGGAGTTTTGACAGCATAATAATCAATCAGTGCCTTGCGCATAGCACTTTTCACGTTTTTTTGGCAGGTCACAGTAAAACTACATGAGTTATATATTCATCTCGCTCACACATACACATGCACGTTTGCTTGTTACAGACAGGAGTCCTCGCTTACGTCACGCAACTGTGGAGTAAGCTCATCCAGTCTTTTGGTGAGGCTCATGTCGTTGCTCTTGATATTACGAAAAAGTTCGATCAGAGAAGATTTGCAGAAGGGTGGCTGACTTTCTCTCTGGACACAAGATATCCGACCAACAACGCCAACGCGGGTGTTCCCGGAGATCGGTCTTGGCTTTAACACTGTTCCTCTTGCACATCAACGACCCCTTTTTCTGTACCGGCGGACCGTCGGTGATCTAGCTCTCTTCTACCGTGTACACCAGAGGACTTTGCTCCTCCGATCCTAACCATGTCGAACTTCGTATATCGATAACTGGCCGATACGACCGCTCCTTTGTCCATAGGTTGCCGAGTTTGTTGAACAGTCTGGAAGAGACGACTTTTCCCAGTTCAACTAACCTTGGGCTGATCAAAAATTGGATTAAAAAAGTTTATTTCTAATCCTCATAGCAGCCGCGGTACCCTGGCATTTACGCTCCTAGCTGCGCGGCTGCTTCGGTGTAAAGAAATATTCCTTCAGATTCTGAGGATCGGAACAGTCCTAACGCGTTTTATTATGTTTTTCCACACCCTGCAGAACAATAGTGTAACGGAGATATTTTTGAAAAAACTGATCCTTTAGGCATCGATGAAAAAAGCCGTTTATTACAAGAAAAAACAAAATCTTGTTTTAGTACTATTTTATCAATTGTATTACTATTTCTGATTTAGAAACAACGCGTAGGGGCTAGACCTTCCTGAGACACTAATTGCTCATTACTCTGTCAAGATGTCTTTCTAATAGCTGAAGTGGTGTAAGAGTTATTCAAAAAATATCAAGTTCTCAATGATGCCTTTTAGGCACCTGTATTTTCATAAGGAGTTTTTTACAATTTTTTTATACATAGATCGTGAGATCAATCACGTATTCTGGAAGACTATTTATAATGATAAAAATAAATATGACTCGAACTATTTTAATATTTCCAGGCAACAAGCAAAACCAGTCAGAAGAACTGGCGCAGGACCCACGAAGAATTCATCGCAGCAATCAGAGCCGCAAAAGATGCTCAGGCTCATCTCGCTAAGGGTGGGAAACTAGCAGATCTACCACCACCGCCACCGTCAAGTAACCCAGACTACGTCCAGTGCCCCCACTGTGGAAGGAGATTCAACGAAGCAGCTGCTGAGAGACATATCCCCAAGTGTGCATCCTACGAATTCAACAAATCTAAACCTGGGGCACCTAAGGGACGACCTGTTAAGAGATAATTGCGATGTGATCTTGCTTTACTTTTACATGATTTATTTTTATACTTATTAATATTACGAGGAATGCCAATGTAGCTCATACATTAATATCTAATTTTTTTAATAAACGGTTGTATAACTAAATGTCTATTTAATTTGCCATGGATGCAATTCATAATTTAAGTTTAAGAATTTTCCGCTTAGCTATTTGATGAGGTATTCAGAAAGTCCTCAACCCAGCGTGATTACAAAAAGGACCTAAAACATATTTTACTGCCAATCCGATTTCTGAACTGAACTGAATATAATAACAATTTATAAACCTGATCTTCCCGCCTTTGATATGCCTTCCAAGAAATCATACCGAATCTGTTTGGTTTTGAATTATTGCACTTCTAAACGGTCAACATTTTTCTAGAGCAGTCAGACTTTTTAATATTTCCGACCTATTTTCATGTGCTGTTGGATTACGAAATTATATCCAATATATATCTGAAATATATAGTCGAGCCACAAACATTGCTGTATTAAGCTTGTAAAAAATGTCGTCAAGTAGGTTGACTCTGCAGTCCATATGGAATGCCGTCATCAGTTCATAAAGTATTAAGTTCAGCGCAATTTAAGTCCTCCGAGAAAAAATCAGTTACAAACATGTACAACAGAGAAATTAAAGGGATTGAGTCAGTCAAACATGTGCATACAATGAGTTTATAGCCATTATTTCTCTGTCCTACTGGTAGCTAATGTCCATCTGGCAACGCTTTACCTTTCCACATCTGCGCGGCAATGCTCAGCAGCAAGTTATCGTTCATTCCTTGCATGGTCCGTGTATATGTTCTTTGCGCAGTAGTACGGATAGATTAGTCAGTCGGACCGGTTTGCCAGGCGGTGAGCTTGGATAACTGGAGGACGCGGATCGAAAACGATTTTCTATCATACCCAGTTTTTAAGGCAAATGTAGGGGGAAATCTAAAGTGTAAAATATAGCCAACAGGTGCAGAGAAATACCGGGGTTGGCAACGTGTAGATGTACTAAAAACAAAAAAATCTTCACATACACTTTCCCCACCCCCTACAACTTTTAACAGCCGAATCATTTTTTTTAAAATGATCAGGACTTCCTGAAGCGTCAAAAAAACGAAGAGCGACTTTTACGTTTTTGGTTTTTGGCTTTTTTCTTCGCTACCACTGGACCGATTTTAAAACACTACAAAGCTTCCTCGTTCTTGGCATAGTAGCAATATTGTATTAAAATGTTGTCAACATCCAAGCGATACTTCTAGTAATAGACGGGCCAAGAGCTAGCGGATAGACAGACAGACCGACGGACGTTTTTCGTGATGAACATGAACATAAAATATTTGAAAAACAAAATATTTCATTTTAGAAATATTCTGAGATTACAATACTTCCTCGCCCAATGACGTAGAAAGTAAAAGAGGAATTTTAAACTGCTACAAGTAGTAAATAATTTCCTTTACCAAAACGAGCGATTTGCTCCGACCAAGCTTTTGGAGATCTGAGTATCCGAATGCCTCAAAAGGAGAAATTTATGTTTTTCTCCTGTTAACCTTAAAATTTCTATTTCATGGGTTACAGTTTAAACGGCTTGATAGACTTTGACATATTAGATGTCTTCCTCTATATTTATATCTTGATAGCAAAATTAAATCTTCATTATTTTCTGTTACTGTAGTTGGTTTGTATTTTAGAAACGTGCACTTGTTTCATATGTATAAATGCTTTTCAAAAAAACACCCTCCTGTGAAAGTTAGCAATATGAAATTTCGCATAATGGAATTGATCATATATATTATACTAGATTTCAACGTCAAAGTGCGAGTTGAAAATCTCAAGATGGCCGCAATAGTGAAAATCTTCTCTTGAAATGTTTGATAATAGGATATGATTGGTTTGATTGTTTAAGACTCTTAGACAGAATAAATCACAGGTTGGGTTATATGGGCTGTCATACTTTATCTCTAACATCACATTAGACGATAAAGGAAAATAGTCATTAAGTCACCAAATAATAAATAATCCACAAGAGTATAAATTATTTTTACTTTACAATAAATAAAAAATAAATAAGGCGGTCACATGTATATAACCAGTCATCAGTCATCCTTAGAATGCGTTCCTCCGACGAATAGTCTCAGCAAGCCAGTCATCCTTTTCTTCCTGTAACCGAAATTAACAGCAATAAAGTAAGTATACTCTTGGGAGCAAGAACATTTTCATATGCAGTCTCCAGAAGAGACACACAAACTGTATGAAGCAGAATAGATATTCGTATTATCTTTGGCTCTTGGTGGGCCATTAAATTTGTCCCTTTTTATGTGGTGTGTCTAATATTTATTGAAGTTTCACTATTCAGCACTCATATGTATATGTTTATAACTTTTCGCAGGTAAATCTGTGTATCCAAAGAATTATATTTTAAAATGGAACAGCCTAATGGATAAGCTCTTTTGTGGTTCCCAAAATATTTGGTGATATTGTCATCAACTTTATGACGTCTTCTAGGTTTTTAGAAAACTACCAACAAAATCAAAGTGGTGTAGCATGAGAAACTTTATCCACGTAGCATTTAGAAAACTTTAAAGCCTTTTCATTTAACTATTCGTTTATTTTTTGTGCTTCACGATTGGATTAACTGTCTGTTCCTTTATAAATTTATTTTACTTGATATTTTATTATTCAAAGCACTTTTGACCACAAACAATCTACTGAAAAACCAAGTTAGAATCTCACAAAAAAAATTCTAAATGATTGTTTCAGTATAATTGGAGAGAAATTATTATTATTGGTATATCACTGTTTAGAACATGGTGGATTCCCATCAGAATTTAAGTGCTCCACCATTACTCCTGTGTCAAAGTTCAACATTCTGAGCTGTATACAAATATGGGACCGATTAATGTCTTGCCAGATGTCGAGAAGCTTTTCGATGGTATAATATATGAACAAATCATTACATTCATTGAAGAAAACAAAATTTTGACAAAGAACCAAGCTGGACTTGGAAAAAAATATTCTATAGAAACAGCAATCCAAATGGTGGTGGAAGACTGGAGAAGACGTATAGATGAGAAAGAATGTACAGTAGACTTAAAAATGGCATTTGAGACTATAGACAAGGAAAAATTGTTAATGAAATAGTATCACTATGGTTTTATAGGATCAGTATCAAACATTCTACAAAATTATTTACTAAATAAAAGTGAAAAAAACTAAAGTTGGAAATATTATGCAAGCGTTCAAAATATATCATCAAGGGTGCCACAGGGGAGTAAATTAGGGCCGTTACTATTTATTACTTATACATATAAATGATATCTCTGACATTTAAGAACACTGCAAAATTCAAATATTTGCGCACGATACATCTGCGAAAGGTTGGGAAATCTCAAAACTGGGGATACTACAGACCAAAATATGTGAATTGACCTAAACATACCTCAGTCCATAAATTGATAGTTTGCGAGATACAGGGTGTCAAAGTTACAATTTTATTTTCTATTTTTCCTTATTGCCTGAGAAGTATTTCAGATTTTGGCTCGGTATAGGGAGGTTTTTTAGTATGAGAAACAAGAATCCGTTATTTTTTATGTCCAAACTTTTAGAGTCCGCCACTTACAGAATTATTTCGGTAAATAACTTATAACTTTTTTGTGCTACCCAGTATACACCAATTGACCAAAAAATCTTATTTTCTCGTATTTCTATAACAAAAAAAGGTTCACTTGTTAGAAGTGTCCATGTGTCCAAGGCTTATAGTATTCGAGATATTTGTTTTTAAAAGTTCCGATGCATTATTTGTACCATGATGATAAAACATGTTTATAGCATAATAATCAAGCTGCTTTATATCTGAGTAGCGTTGCTATAGTTTCTAATGTTTGTCATAATATTGCTTTCAACTTCTTGAATAATTTTAAGTTGACAATAAGTTGTTAAACATCATGGAGTATACGTTTGATGAATATTCTGATATGCATTTAATATACGGATTGTCAATATATAATGCTTTAAAAGCACGAAGATTGTACCCTGACAGATTCCCTAATAGACTTTCCATCGAATCGATCAGCGGTTACGAGAAACTGGTAAAAAATGATTATAGCCTTCTTTTGAGTAGTAAAAACCATTTGCATTATAGGTAGTTTTGCTCAAAATATGGGCCCACATAGTAGAGCTCCCACAACTGTACGTACAGCTGAAGTTGAAGAAAATGTTTTAGATGCTGTCTTTGAAAATCCTACAGTTGGGGTTAGGAATGTAGCTCGAGAATTTCAAGTTTCCGAATGTACAGTAAATGCCATTTTTCAACAGCAACTGCTCCATCCATACCACCTGCAAAAAGTACATGGTTTAAGCGTGGATGATGAACTAGCAAGGATAGAATTTTATACATCTCTCTTAAGAAAGTTTAACCACCACAATAGTTTTACTTCGTTAATACTATTTTCGGACGAAGCAGGATTTGGAAGGGATGGGCGCATAACATTTATGCAGAAGAAAATCCTCATGCAATAATGCAAACCCGCCACCAAGTAAGTACAATTTCAAATTAATTCATGGTCAGGAATAATTGGACAATATTCAATAGGACCCGTTGAGTTACCATCTAGACTAAATGGCCAAAGGTATTTACAATTTCTTGAAGAACAATTACCCTATCTGCTGGAAGATCTTCCATTACAAACACGCATGAATATGTGGTTTATGCACGACGGCGCTCCACCTCATGTTAGTATATAAGTTAGAGAGCACCTAGATACAGTTTATCCAGACCAGTGGTTAGGCCAGGACCTGTATTGTGGCCGATTAGATCGCCAGACTTAAATCCTATGGATTTCTTCTTCTGGGGTGATTTAAAATGACGCCAGTGGAAACTGTAGATGATCTTGGACAAAGAATTTTCCACCATAGCCAGAAAATGAATAATAACATCCAAATGCTTTGGAGAGTGCAGCAAAGATTAGTTCGTCGAGCTCGAGAGTGTGTTAGGCAAGGTGGTGCTCATTGTGAACAATTTTTTTAGTTATTATTTCCATTTATTAGTTTTGTTGCCATCCTCATTTGTTATTGTTAAAAACCATAGCGACGCTACTCAGATATTATCCAAAGCAACTTGATTATTATATTATAGAAATGTTTTAGCATCATGGTACAAGTTATGCATTTGAACTTTTAAAAACAAATATTAGCTAGCTATTAGCTTTATACACTTCTAACAAGTAAGCCTTGTTTGTTGCGGAAATACGAAAAATTAAGATTTTTCGGTCAGTTGTTGTATACAGGTTAGCACAAAAAAGTTATGATAAGTTATTTACCGCAATAGTGCGGTAAGTGGCGCCCGCTAGAAGTCTGGTCATGAAAAATAACGGATTCTTGTTTCTTATACTAGAAAACCTCCTTATACCGAGTTTCATGCCAAAAACTGAAATACTTCTCAAGCAATAAGGAAAAATAGAAAATAAAATTGTAAATTTGACACCTTGTATCTCGCAAAATATCAGCTTTTGGACTAAGGTATATTTCAAGATTTCCCAACCTTTCGCAGACCCTGTATTGTACATAAGCATTTGGACACTGCTTTAGGACTGTTAAATAATTATACTAAAAAAATATCAATTTGTCAAATATTGATAAACTGAAACACTAATAAAACAAAACATTAGCGAAAGATTTATTTGACAATACAATTAGTCTCACGATTGATGATGAAAAAATTGAAGTAGTCGAATCATTTAAATATCTGGGTATATATGTGGATAGTAAACTACTGTTTCACGAGCATTATGAATACATTATTTCAACAATATCAAAAAAGATAAAGTACTTCTATAGAGTTTCCCATAATCTTAGCATGTATTCCAAGAGGATTGTGTGTAACACTTTAATTCTTCCCCATTTTTTATATTGCTCAACAATCTTGTTTACAGCAAATGAAAACATATTTTCAAAATTACAAATTCTCCAAAATAAAGCTATGAGAGTCATTTTAAATAAAACCAAATATGCTAGGATTAAGTCTAAATTAGAAGAACTGCAGTGGTTGAATGTGAAAAGTTGTTATCAAGTTCGCATTTTCATATTCAAATTAAAAAATTATTTATTACCACCACATTCAGAAAACACACAAAATTAAATAGTCATTATCATAACTACGAAACTAGAGGCAAAATTGTAAAAGCATAACTAGCAAATATGTACTTCAAAGGGGAGTATCTGAATTTAATAAAATGAATAATGATATTAAAGTGTTCGAATTTGACAATGTGTAAGGTGAATTTAAAAAATGCATAGTGATGTAATTTTAATAGATAAGAATGTGAAATTACAGAAAATGGATCGAAGAAAAATGTGTGAGCGAATAATTATGCAAAACTGACTTTGTGGCATTAATGCTAGATAAATTTTCTACAAACAAAAACGTACGTAATAATTTTCAGCTCTCCCTCATTATACCTAAAGAACGACCAAGGTGTCGAAAAAAACGTAAATAGCCTTTTTGTAGCAAATTGTATTATCTATAAAAAGTAGTTTGGGTTTTATACTCTTAGTTCAGCCATTACAACTAATATATACCATCAGTAAATGTATCTTGACCCTTTAATCTCTCGTAATGTGTTGACTACAACAAATTTTTTTGATAGCAAACTTTTTCACAAAGAACTGGTGGTTTTCAAGATTTTCGATCAAACGTGTTCATCAAAATGGCGGTAAATGCACCAGCCTTATAATGGCCCCAATTTGAACTTCTTTCATTAGGAAGCAATAATCTAACGAAACCACCAAAAAAATTTACTGTGTCCCGAATTTTCTTATACAAAATGTCCCTATTTCTTGGACTATAAAAATGTATTTTACAAATATCTTTCGTACAGTATTTTATTACCTTGAATGTGTTTCATTCTTAGCGGGAGTAATCACAGGCTGGTGTTCTGTCGTCGAGCTGGGTACTGGCGAGGCATAACTCGGTCCAAATAATATCTGAGCCAGATCTAGGGTGATATTGTCTGGTTTGGGAATGGTTGAATTATCCGCACTTGGATTGAATATATCTTCTAGGTCCGGATAGTCGTCAAAGCTTACGTCTAGCAGATTGCTTAATGATGGTGCCAACAATAAGAGCACGTTCTTAGCTGTTATTATGTAGTTTTCTGTACCTGAAATGTAATAAATTTCGTATCGTAGTTATCAGCATAGTCTCTGCAACATGGCAGCTTAAGTGCAGGTGACATCATTTGGATTACCCAAGCACTATGTTCTCATTTATAGAAATTTCTCAAAATACTAAGAACTTCACAAGCACGAACTTGTCTCAACCCTACCACTGCCTAGCATCCAAAGCAGAATTCTTGTTTCTTGTGACATTCAAGCGAGAGCATTTTTGTTGCCCTGCTCAATAATGTAGCTAAACCAACCTAGACCCATTCTCACGGTTTTTGGCAAGCGCTAATGAATGCCAAACGGGATAAGCAAACAAACTAACTAACTGTACCATGTGCGTATTTTAACCTTCCCAACAGAAATTGACGCTGCGCAAACCGATCCTTAATGCACCTGCTACTCGCTCTTGCACAGACACTTACATTAGGTGTTTTCATTCACTTTCCGAAAATACTCGCCAGTAATATGTTCTTTATCGAAGAACAACAAGAGGTAAGCTCAAGTGGTACTATTCGTCATTTGTATGTCTGGGCGGCTGAAAAAACGTCAAAAAGAAACCGACGAAATGTCATCTTGCAGACTAGGTAGTTTTTAGTGTGCAAATGATTCACGTTTGCTCGCTATAATTGCTGTTCCCTAACGTTTAAGCAACACGTACAGCTACAAAACGAATTCGTAATAGGTGTACAACACTTGTGCTTAGTTAACATGTTATAGAAAAGTCTACGTTATGTGACAAAAAACCTACGAAATGTCACAACATACCCGACGACATGTCTATTTCTGATTTATAATAATTGAAAAATCAAAAAATAAACAAATTATTTAAATCAATTAAAATTTTAATTTGAGCAATCAATAACTTTTATCAACTATATGACAGCTGAAAATTTTAATTAATGTAATTAAACTCCGATTTCTAAATTAGTTTATTTAAATCTACGAAGTTAGTTTAACTAAACCAAAATGCAATCGTTTATTTAAATTTATGAAACCGTTTACTTATATTGATTATATCGATTTAATTAAAATTAATGTACTATTAAAAAGAATTTACTTGCTCCAAGTAAAATAATTTAATTATATTTATAAATTTTTTTAATTAGTTAGGTAAAAGTGTTTGCCTAGTCATAATGAATTATTTAGATTCAAGAGGATATTTGGATATTCTTTGGGATTCTAAAAGATCAAATTGCATTTTAGTAAATGATGTGTATTATAACTGCTCTGACAAATCTTAGATATAAGAAAATTTGGAAAACTTGATTATTGATGTTTCCGAATCAAAATGGAAACTTGCGAATTTTATAACCTTAACAAAATTCGTTATTTTTATGTTACCATTCACTAGATGCAATTATCTGTTCTAAATTCAGAAAGTAGGAAGAGGAATACCTGAAACTGTACAAGGTCACTTCACCATGTGTACAAAGATTGTACTTAGTAAAACAATATTTCACTCATCCGGATTCAGCGCATTTACATATATGAACAAATTCGACATCACTTTAAACAAACCAGGATATTTAATACTACAATGTCTGCACCAGCAGGAGACTCCAAATCCTATACATACAATATAAAAGAAAATCACTTCAAGCCTATCTTAAGCATATATTGGGTATAAATGCATCATTGATTAAATTCGGTTTCATAAATAAAATTTCAAAGCTCTTCCCCTTCCGTCACGTCAGCAGTGACTCCACGATACAGAGAGTTTCTTTGGGATCAAGGAACATTCTAACCATGGTCATGTGTCACTAAGCGCGTTATGCTTGAGTATTCCACTTAATCATCATAATAATTGATCTTCTTCGCAACTACTACACCAAAAACGGCAATATTCGAATATGAACCTCCTCGCGAAAGCCACAAATGTAACTGAGGAGCTCAGAGCGCGTCACCGGCACTGCGACTGTCGCATACTCCGGATCATTCACGAAAGAAGGGTCCAGTCCTGCCGAGTCCGAGATTCAAATAAGCGCAGTTAGCGTGTTTTTATTGAAATGTAATTGTTTTAAATGTACCATTTCTAGATAAACTAAATTATCTAAGCTGATTAAAAAGTTTGATAAAATAAAACAAATACCTGGTTTGCTATTTCCAATTAAAATGCTTCCAGAAAATTCAGCATAATTGATCAGAATAACTTAGTCACTTAGAACAATTAAAACATTTATTTCGGGTAACAAAAGTTTTCGAGAAAAAAACTGTTTAATTGACCGCGTTTTTTCAATGTCATTTTATTTGTTGATTAACTTGCTTTCTAGTGCTACACAAAATAATTTACAACATATTAATATATCTTCCTAGATGAACCACTTACCATTCTGCCTCTGATCATAGACCTCATCAAACTTGTCCGCGTCATATCCTTCACTCTGGTTCTTTTTCTGATCCGCTATTACACAGTTAACACCCACCGCAATCAACAAAATTGCAAAAACAAAAACCAGGGAATTATCGAACATTTTGGCTTGACCGAACATCACCTGCGATCATCCGTATCTGAAGATACCGTTAAGTCTTCGACACACTATATACCACATGCATGGCCTCCTTTGAGAGAGAACATATCGACGATACTTGATTTCTAATTAAGGCTTTTCTGCATATAAAAGAACGAGACGAGGAGATGTGATTGTCTGCCCGGCAGACGCTGAGAGTTGAAAGTTAAAAAGCTTTTATTTGTTTGCTGGATCACTTTCTATGGTAATATGGACAAATGGGTGAACAATGTTCGTCCACTAGATCACTGGCTGGGTAAACTGAGGCATGTGCAAACTTGGAGCTGTGGTTAGATACTACTGGTGGCAATATTGTCTAGTTCATTTCTTTATTGTAACAAATACATACAGTACTACAGTTACAAATAGCGAAGTCTGGACAATGGCCATTCATAGTTAACTATGTCGTAAGCTTGATGTTACCTTAATCTAAAACTCAGCCTAACGGAAAGTAATCAGTAATAGAGAAACTGTAATCCAATATCACATCGCCTAGTCGACCTTGGTACCAATTCTACGCATCATTGCTAATAGACTTTTGGTCAAGTGAATTTTGCTTCTTGCTTATCCGCCGCTGTCATCATGATCACAAACACTTGCCAGAGCAGTAGTCATACTATGCCCTTTTCTAAAGCCCAATTGGTTTTCATGCCAAATGCGGCAGTCAAAAAAATACTCATTCAAGTGCAAGTAAACAAGTTTTTTAAGTATTTTGAATAAAACAGTCAGCACGTTGATAGGTCTGAGATCACCAGGTAGTTGAGGATTGTAAATCTTTGGGAGAGGTTGCACTAAGGCTTCCTACCAGGCTCGTGGAAAAACAGCGCACTCTAAACAGCAATTTATCATGTGTAATACGTATGTCCCTATAGCAGGCAGACATAATTTAATCATCTCAATGGCAATGCCATCAACATCAATAGTCTCGGACTTAACACTGCAATTAGCATCTAATACTGTAGCTCAGGAATGATTAAATTGTCTGAAATATCAGTGATATAATGAACCAAAATTTTAAATGGCTTTTTGAAGACACAGTTGTTGAAGGTAACCAGATTTTTCTACACGAGCAGGAGTTTTTACAAAATTTCTCAATTTATTGAAATAGTTTCGATATGTATCTGTTCGGGACCGTCAATATTTACGAAAAGCCTAATCTCGTTCCTTCTTAATCATTTTCAAGTTGTTTTGGCTTAGACACTATCATTGTTTTTAGTGGTGCATGTATGTTAAAGAATGTTATATATAATATTACCGGATATAAATTTAACTTTATCATTACTTTATAAAACTACGATAGTCTCTAAACGTAACTAGTCTGGATAGTAGTTTATTAGTTTTATACGGAAGACAGCCAGATGATTGCTAAAGTTAACAGTGAACGTTCCAACGGTAGAACATCTATGTGCACAACTGAAGCAAACAGGATCTAAGAGTCAAAGAGTGATCAGTTATTCGAGTTGGTTCATTCAATAACTGTTGCAGATTATATGATAGAGATCAGTAATTGATCTTGTTATCACTGAAGAAATTGACGTCGACGTCTCCCGTCTATTGAAAAATTACCATTATATTATCTTAAGAAATGTAAAGTCTTTAGGCTTTAGGGAGTTTTGGGGATTCAAACAAGCTCTATATTTATTTTATTGGTACTTCCTGGTTGTTAACGGTGTTGTAATAATATTTATCCATTTCTAGTGTATTATGCCAGGCTCAATTTTGTACATTTATTCTGCACTCAACCATCACGTCGTTCATGAGCCTGTCTTTGCGATAGTCCCTTTTCAAGGCTTTAGACTTTGAAAGTAGACGGAACAACCTTGGACCAATGCTTCGGTCTACATCTTATTCTACCTTAACGTGGAGGTTTTAAAACTTGGCTTCATAGGCAAGACGACAACGGTACGAGCATGCCACTCCTCAATTTTCAGGCCGAAGTCAGGCAGGTCTGTCTGGCAGGCACATCGCGCGATGGTATCATGTAGGAGAGCTTTGAGGAGCAAAACCCATTGACGTAGAGGTATAAGAGAGCTAGTTCACCGACAGCCCGTCGGTGCAAAAGCGTTCCGAGACTGTACGATTAGCCCTCCTCTGAATATCATTGAGCATGGATGACGTAGTCGGAGCAGCAGCACCCATTTATGAAAGATTCCAGAGAAGCTTTACAGATGTGTAACTGACTTTCTCTCCGGCCACGAGATATCCGTCGTAAGTGATGGGTGATCTTCTTCATCCCATAATGTCAACGCGGGTATTTTCTAGGGAACGGTTGTGGACCCAACACCGCTCGAACCACATATCGTCGACCTACTTTCCTGTATGATCAATCCTATTTACAGCTTTGCTGATGACCGCGGTTTACATACAGGCGTTCTGATTACCAAGCCTATATCTGTCGATGAGCTGGAAAGAAAGAGCCTTTACAGCCAAGAAGAACTGTCCTTCACATAGTCTCCTCACACTGTACAAACTTCCAGTACTGCTCACATGTGTGGGGTGCTGGCTCCTCAACTATACTGTACATTACTCGATACTGTTCACAGAAGGGCTGTTTGATTGATCGATGATACTTCTCTAACACAAATGACAACCGCACACAATAAAGGAACGGGAGCGGAAATAGGATTGTTAACCCAAGCGACGTACGTATCTGCTTATTGGCTTCATCAGGCCCTAACGGATGTGGATCGAAAACACCGAAATGAAAACTCTTGCCCATCACATTTGAATACGAGTGCAACCTGGATAAAAACAAGGAGGGTAAGGAAAATACAACTAGAAGCCACCAACAAGAGCCAGCAGGCAAATTTGTGGCTTCGTAAGAAGACCTCGTGTTTACTTGGTACTTTAAGTGCATGAGTACATACGAGTACAAAGAAAGACAAGTGGAAACTTATGTAGGTGAAAAACATTTTTCATCGAAGTCTTTGCTGGT